TCGCCCCCCCACAACTAGTTTTTTTCACCCCCCATTATGGTTCCCCCCAAAAAAAAAAACCGGGGTAAAAAAAAAAAACGGTACCCTGGTCCCCGAGTTCACAAAGAGACTTGGCTTTTTTTAAAAGGTGGTTCCCAAGCGAGGAAAACCCAATCCCGAGGGCAAACCCCGAGGGGGGGGGGGGGGGGGGGGGGGTATCTGCTGTGTGCGTGCGTGCTTCGGGTTTGTGGTCATGGGTGCATACCCAAGTCGGGTCTAGCCAGTCTCTCTCTCTCTCTCTCTCTCTCTCTCTCTCTCTCTCTCTCTCTCTCTCTCTCTCTCTCTCTCTCTCTCTCTCTCTCTCTCTCTCTCTCTCTCTCTCTCTCTCTCTATCTCTATCTCTCTCTCTCTCGGATTGGAGGTTTATCGCCGACGCGTGCGCTGGCTCGCGGGGTGTCGTTTCGTCTTTGTTTCGGTGCGTTTTATTTTCGGTTTCGGTTTCGATAGGCTACTGTACGACGGCCAAGGTGTTCACCAGACACAAAGGTTATTTAGCATTTTGTCGTTGTATCACATGTGTGGTATGCTTCTTGTGTCTAGTCCCAGGAGGTTCAAACGAGCGGGCAGCTCTGGTTCACAGCCGAAGAATGATCGATAGGTTTAGCGATCACTGGGCGAATGCCGCCGGCAAGCTGTAGGAGCGCTTGCTTGTTTGTGAGATGGCCGCACTCCCCCAGTAAGGACAGGTTGGCCATTTTTGTCGTTAAGGTCACCCATCTCGTTTCTCTGTAGCACACCACAATAGTCTTGTCATTGTATTGCCGTTTGTACGACGGGGACGGTTTAAGTAGATCCTCCAACCAACCTCCCGCTAATTCATTTATAGATGGAATAGGTGACGACACTGATCACCGGGGTGTATCGAGAGAATAGCAACTGTAGATGTTATATGTTTAGATGTTGCAAAGTTGCAGACGGATCCGCGGGGGGACTTGCGAGCACGGCGTGATGCCGCCAGAATCCAAACGCTGCACTATCGTACACTCTTGGAAAATGCGGGAGGATCTCGTTCGAACCGAGCCCTGGCGTGCCCGCTACCCTCTTCGTGTTTGGATTATATCGCTCCCAGCAGAGCAGTGGTGCGCGAGGTGTGTGATTGCCCTCATGCGAATGCTGCTGTTGTGCGGGCGTGCATATATGTATGTGTGCTC